AGGGGCAGCACGGTGGCGCAACTGGTAGAGCTACTGCCTCTCAGCGAACAGGTCCTTGGTTCAAACCCTGGTCCAGGTGCCTTCTGGGTGGAGTTTGCATGTTCTCTCCGTGCATGCGTGGGTTTTCTCCGGGTACTCCGGTTTCCTCCCACAGACCAAAAACATGCACGTTAGGCTGATTGGTGACTCTAAATTGTCCCTAGGTGTGAGTGAGAGAGTGAATGGTTGTTTGGCTCGTTTGTCTCTATGTGTCCCTGTGATGGACTTGCGACCCGTCCAGGGTGTACTCCGCCCCTCGCACAGTGATTGCTGGACATGGGCACCAGCGACCCCCGTGACCCAAAAATGGAATAAACGGGTAAAGATAATGGATGGATGGATATATATATATGAATGTTTCTGTACAGTGCTCTGAGACGACTTCTGTTGTGACTTGGTGCTATATAAATAAACTGAGTTGAATTGAATATAAAAAAAATGCAAAGCATTGTAAGAAGAACCAACAAAAATACAAAAAGCGCATTTTGGAGGGTTTTTTATAGTTTAGTGGGAAGCGAAACCAAAATTAGTAAAGCATGAACATTGATTAAAAAAATGAATGGAATAAGACAAGAGTTTGGATATGATGGGGAAGTAGCTGCACTTGAGAATAAGGAGAAAGCAGAAATGACGACTAAATCTTTCATTAAAGTTCAAAGTTCAAATAATATGAGTGAAGAAGGAAATAGAGGAAGAGAAAATGTGAAATATCTGCACCAGGAACACATTTGTTACATTGCACAAATAATGCATAACACTAAAGAAAAGAAATCTTAAAAACATGATGTGGCATTTTTAACTTGCAGATCACCCCTACCACAACCACCATATTAATAAGGGTTTTACTTAAAGTACAAATAAAAGGCTTTTATTAAGAAGTAAACATCTTGAAATGGTCTTTTAACGCAATCATTCATCTTATATGTAGCAAAAACAGAAACTGTGTTCCATTAATTAAATATACTTCATGTGCTCATTGGGGTAATTATAGCATTATAGTCTGTACATGGATAATTATACAGTGACGAGGTGGAGCTCACAGCGCTGTGGCAAAATTAACCAGTTTTCCTTCAGTTCAACGTGAGGTCAGCGGCCCCCCCAGCTCTGAAGGCAGGGGCCAAAAAGCCTCCTCCGCTGCTTCCACTGCCTGGGATCCATTTCATTGCCTTCATGACAGTAAATCCGAACAAAGCAAAACAATTAGGACAGAAAAATGGGCTAGAGTGTTCTCAGATGAAAAAGAAAAAAAAATGGAATGGAAAATAAACATGTAGGTTTCTGAACAAGTCCTGCCAGCAGCAACTCTCCCACCCTAGCCCCTCCTCTGGATCCTTTCACTGAATCCAAACCACAAATCCCACACTTTGCCTGGAAAAGCAAAGAGGAGTCTTGACTGAAATATACATTGGGATTTTTTTTTATTTTTTCCCTGTAGGGGTTGTTTGGGTATGACCAGAACCTTTTGGAAAACCTTTTATCAACTTGTACAAACCAGAGTTTAAATCTAAAATGTTGTTTCAGTAAACAAATGTCACTTTTTGTGCAGGCACGGTGCAGCGAGTCTCTATTTTAAGGTTCGACTGCAGCTCTGGAGAGATTTTTGAACTCTGCACTGCTTAATTTGGCGTCTCCAGGAGGACGCAACTTTGTAATCAAATTCTTTTTGCTTTCCAGGCTAATTACAGGTTTCAGCAGAAGTTCTGGGTCAAAATGAAAATGTCTGAACTCCGTAAGCTCTAGCTGTCGTTTCTCTTCTTAAACTCAGGTTGTTGTTTTTTTACTGCCTTCTACTGCTGGCATTACCATTTTCATCTCTCTGTTCCTACTTAAATGTAAGTTTCCACAAATAGTTGTGTTGTCAGGATGCCATTAAGCTATAAACACAAAGCGCTCTTCTACCCAAGCTGGTTTGGGCCTGAGCGCCACGCTGTGGTTTTATTGTGTAATCTCTCAGCTATGCACTTTATTTTCTGTAACCACTGGCACCATTTCTCACTGTTTTCCAGCGCTGCTACGTTTAATGCCGAGCTGATACTTAAAGCTTAATTATAAAGTTTGAGCCCATTTAGTGTGGGTATAATGAAGCCTTTGCAGGCTGAACCAAACAAGTCTGCTCTTGAACGTAACACTGTAAAGAAATAAATCCCAGCTCACTTACCAACTTTCCAGAGATTTTAATTGCATCTCCAAATCTCCTCGTCCTGTAGCGTCATTTCTCGTGCCCTTGCCCGCTTTCAAACGTCTTAATTTGTGAGACGTCTTGATGTTTATTGGTATCAGTTTGATAACGTTCATCCTGAGTCACTCTGAGTCACGCTTTGCTTCCCACTTTTACAGCACAGAAATCATGTCGCCCATCATATAAAAGCAAACTTAATTATAGCTTGCTGTTGAAAGGGAATAGGTGATACGGTGCTTGATCTGTGTCTGTTAGCAAAATATCTCATGGACCACTACACAGTTTTTAATAAAACTCATCTGCAACTGATATACTTTTGGAGTAAACACAATTCAAGATGGCTGCCATAGCCAACCGACCTTAGAAAACACAAAAATAACTATAATTCAGTCAATTTGACTGATATTTAGCTAAAATGTGTTGTTAGAAACTCAAGAGTCATAAGCACTACACATCAGGCAAGACCTTTACGTAAAGTTTTGGCATTATCAGATTGTCAATCATGTATGTTAGCAAAATATTTCATGAACAGCTGAACAAATTTTAGTGAAACGTTTACAGCTCATTAACTTTCAGAATATATCAAATTCAAGATGGCCGCCGTTGTTAATTGACCTTAGCCAACAAATAAATGGGTATGAGTCGGTCAGTTTTACAAATACAGCACTGAGTTAATATTGGTGTGGTAGTAGCTGAGAGTTATTCCCAACACATACTCTGAGATCTGAACATAAAGGTATATTCAAGGTTTGACTAAAACGTCCATGCAGCTGTCATTTCTCTGTTAGGTGGCAGGTGATGTGCATTTCTTCAAGAACTGACAGTTTTTTTTTTTATTACTTTATTTAAGAGTATACTGTATTGTAATCAGTGCTGTTCATATATAACAATAGAGGATGCTCAGTTTGTCATAAAACTTAAAACCTGGATTATGTTCCTCTAACGCTGCTGTTCAAAAACAAATCTGAACCTTTGGCCCTGACGATGGACCTGTGGTTCTGTTCAACTGTGGGGACAAGCTGTGAGGAAAAAGACTTTGATCAGTATAAAACAATATGAATTATGTCTGAAAATCTTTGCTCAGAGGAAAAAAAAATCATTATATGGTCTTTTCAAATTGTAAGGAAAAATTTGGTAATAAATAATCAGAATATTTTTGGTTAAGTATTTTCATATCAACAGTGCAAAACTGCTTTAAAAAAATAAATAATAAAATCCTGCTGCCAAGATTTACTTGATATCTTTTTTTAAACGTTCTTGAGTAATATTTCTTTTGGCTTTCTGAAGGTCTTGCAATTTTATTTAATAGGATTTATTAACCTATTTTTTCTTAGTCAAGTCTGCGAACCTGATCTCTTTTAAAGGAACTTAATTATTTCTACATTTTTTAATGTTAATAATCAAATTTTGCTCAAGACTTTAAAACATTACAAAAATACGGCTCACTGGAAGCAACTTATAAAGAAATTTATAAATAGAATATCAGATATTAGCACTCAGAACCACCAGAAAAGGTTAATTTAATACAAATATTTTATTCAAAATGTGTGTGTGGCATAAGTTTTGTTGGAATTGAGAACAAACGAGAACATTAACCAAGTTTTTGTTTCTCTTAAAGTTTACATTTGCAAAGACGTTGAAAATCTGTAATGCATGTATAGAGTCAAAGTGCATATTCTTGTTCCTTTTTATGTTTTTATACACATTACACTATACATAAATAATTGCATTGTAAAAATGACTCAAGTATTTACATGTAAAATATATATTTTATATAATATATAAATTTATATTAAATCTAGGTAGATTACAGTTAGGATACTGAGTCCAGACTGTGAGTCTGTGTGCTATCTGTGGTTGTTGAGGAGCACCTCCAGCCAGCAGGGGCAGGAGGTGATGAACTGTCTGGAGTAACAGGGGCCCCACCCTTTAGCAAAACTGATCTGGACACTGTGGGGGTCCCAGGGCCCCTCCTCAATGTCAGGCTTCACACCATGCTCCGTCATCCACTTGGAACACTCATAATCAAACACTTTGAGGGAGAAGCCCGACGTCACCCTCTTCACACTCAGCCCACGAGATCCAGGTGGGTCCAGAGTGGGCGAGTGGACAAACACTGGGTTCTGGCTTCGGTTGTACACCCACACTCCGTCCGGCTCACGACTCAGCACGATGCCGTAACCAATTTTACTGCGAATCTGTTGAACACTGCTGCTGCTGTTCCCTCCGCCCCCACGGCTGTGATGTCTGTGGAGGTCCACGGTGCCGTGGCTGCCCGGGTCATCGCGGCACCTGTGGTAGGCATTGGCGTGGAGCTGGCTGAGGCAGAGGCCAGTGCCCTGAGGTAGGTCATAGAAGATGCTGAGCGAGGGCTCATGGGCTGGGTAAAGGCGACCCACGCGAGTCCGCTGCTCCCAGTAGGCAACACTGCACCAGTGAGAGCGATGTCCGCCAGTGGTTGAGGAGCCGATGGAGGTACCAGTGTCTGAGCAGGGAGAAAAGAAATGGAAAATTAACATGTGCAATAATAATGCTAAAAATAGCATGACATTTATATTCATTCATTGTGGGAATGCTTATTTATGTTCACACTTTTTTCCTTTTATTTTCATGTATATGTTTTCTAACAACATAACTATTTCTGCAAAGATGAAGGCCAAAGAAAGATAAGAGAGGACATGGAGGTAGTTGGAGTGAGGACAGAGGACAGAGTGAGATGGAGAGGACTCGATGTGGTGACCTATTATTAAAAGAATCAGCTCATTTAGGCAAAGGGTCCTATGGTGACTTTTGGTTTTGTAACTTTTATACTTTTCACATATTTGGGTCTATTGATAAGGTTTTTTTTCCTCATAGAAACATAATACGATTTATACAATTCTTTCAAAAAAAAAAAAGTATTTTTAGTTTTTAGCTAGTCTTTAGCTACTTTTAGCTTGCCTCCTGCTTCTTTTAGCTTTTAGTCAGTGTGTTGCACTTTTTAGCTGTTTGATAGTATTTTGCCTCTTGGACGACATGAACTAACCCAACTGTCAAAAATAAAACAACCTTGAATTAAATTATTTTCAGAAA